TGGAATCTGAGGGTGCAAAAAAATCCAAATACTGAGAAAATCACCAAAAAGTTGTCCAAATGAAGTTCTTAGCAATGCATACTACTAATCAAAAATTAAGTTTTGATATATTTACGGTAGGAAATTTACAAAATATCTTCATGGAACATGATCTTTACTTAATATCCTAATGATTTTTGGCATAAAAGAAAAATCGATAATTTTGACCCATACAATGTTTTTTTGGTTATTGCTACAAATATACCCAAGCAACTTAAGACTGGTTTTGTGCTCCAGGGTCACATATAGAAAATAGCAAAGAAATTTACAGAAAAGTGTGTAGATCATGATTATTTCATAGACCAAGTACATGATGGAATATACAGTTCAGCTTGTGGATATCTAGGTTCAAAGAGCCTCAAACTCAACTTTTGATGCATGAAACTCTAACCCTTAACATCTGGATCACTTCTGAGGGAAAATTAAATACTTGATTTAATAAAGTTTAAAGGGGACATTGGATGTCCATTTTCCACACGTTTGTATGGTTCTTTATGGTCTCCATGAAATGTCTGCAACATAATTCCTCATGGTTTTGTAAAACAACACCCTTTTTATCTTATCAAAAATAGCTTCGTTCATAGCGACTCATTTCGATGCACGTCTCTTTAAATGATAATGAGCTACTGCTCACTCCACCCCTCTCTTCTGTGGGGCGTGTCGACACAAAACATGTGAATTGCTGCCTTGGACTCTGTATATGGCTTGGAGGTGGTCTTATTCAAATAGCTAGCTATCTATGTAAAAAAAACAGCTGTAAATTGAAACAGCCCATAACTAACTGGCTGCGTGTTTCTTTTCAGCTTTTCTAAGCTGGCAGACATGCCAGAAACCTAAACTAAATGAAAAAAAAGTGAATAAAAAAAATCAGATGTCCCCTTTAGTTCACCCAAAAATGAAAATTCTGTCATTAATTACTCACCCTCATGTCATTTCAAACCCATAAGACCGTTCATCTTCGGAACACAAATTAAGATATTTCTGATGGAATCTGAGAGCTGTCTGACCCTGCATAGACAGCAACGCAGAGGAGATCTATAAAATAATCCATGTGACATCAGTGGTTCATCCGCAATTATACAAAGCTACAGGAATACTTTTTGTGCACAAAAGAAAAAAACCCAGATTTTATCCAACAATTCGTCTCCTCTGCATCACCCTGTAAATGCTGTTCTGTGTCAGCTGCGTCACACGGATATGCTGTTTCCGTTCAGATCCGGCATGACACAGCTGACACAGAACAGCATACGTTGTTTACGTCTAGCGGATATTCTCCAAAATGGCACCAGGGTGATGCGGAGGAGACAAATGGTTGAATAAAGTCTTTTTTTTCTTTTGCGCACAAAAAGTATTCCTGTAGCTTTGTATAATTGCGGATGAACCACTGATGTCACATGGATTATTTTACCGATCTCCTTGCTACGTTTCTGGACTTGGGAACATTTCAGTTGTGTTGCTGTCTATGCAGGGTCAGACAGCTCTCAGATTACATCAAAAATATCTTAATTTGTGTTCCGAAGATGAACAAAGGTCTTACGGGTTTGAAACGACATGAGGGTGAGTAATTAATGACAGAATTACATTTTTGGGTGAACTATCCCTTTAACCCAATAGACACCATTTTGTTTCTCTGTGAACTAACAAGGCACCTCATATTTTGTGCACCCCATTCTCCTGGAAGCTGGCTAGCTGTCAGCCAGTCTGATTGAAGCTTGCTATTTTCACAAGTGCTTATAAGTTTTGTGTGCAATGTGCATTAGATGCTCAGTAAACGGATCTGTGGGTGTGCCATCTGAGGTTGAGTTTAAGGTTTATTGATCAAGGGTCCTGTATTGTGTAAATCATGTTAATATTTTCATTCCATTATGCTATGATAGTTTTTCATGTCCAGATTAAACATTTAGTAGATTTTAATTGGTTGAATGACCTTGTGTTTGTTTGTATGTGTGCAGGAGCAGGCAGCTGAGAGCGAGAATGAGGCCAATGAGAACATGGGGAGGGTTGATGAAGGTGTAGAAGAGTTCTTCACCAAAAAAATCATCCCTGATGACCCCCTGTGAGTACACAACACATACAAACACACTCAAGTATGCAGATCAATGTTATTTAAACAGATACTCAACTTTAATCACAGCACATGATTAAATCATGGTCTCTAACAAAGAAATATTCTTACCGGTTGTCAAAAGACATTTCCCATCATGCCTTTCCTCTCCTCGTGTTCAGAAAGCACCAGAGGGAGGAGCCCCTCATTAAAGCACAACCTGCAGAGCCCACGTCTGTCACAACTGCCCCTCCTACCACCTCCACTACAACACCCATCCCCACCACAGGCCACTCCAAAAACATTAAGAAGAAGTTTGGTGACTTTTTCGCCTTTAAGAAAGTCCGAGCAGGTCGAGGGGCCAAGGGCGACGGCGTTCCTGAGGGCAAGGTCAAAAAGACTTCAATAGCAGATCTCATCCGACCACTCCGGGAGGCAGCACGTGCAGAGAAAGAGCGAGAAAAGGAAAGGGAAAGAGAAAAAGAGAGGGAACGAGAGAAGGAGAAAGAAAGGGAGAGGGACAAAGAGAAACTGGATGAGGAAACCATAGTCAAGGCAGCCACCACCACCATCCTCACCATCACAGATTCAACAACAACTGCACCAGTTATTGAGGACAAAATGTCACCCAGAGCTCCTTCACCTGCCCCCACACCTGTACTGACCCCACCTGCATCCACTCCCACACCTCCTGCCTCCTCCCCGAGCAAAACCGAAGAGGTCCCAGCACTGTCCCCTGCTGCACCTCCCACTCCCACCAAAACCCCCAGCCCAGTCCCAGTTGTGTCACCCTCAGAGCGGGAGAAGAGCTGGACCCTGGAGAAGAGCCGCACTCCAGATGGAGAGCGGAGGCCCAAACCCATCCGCCGCTCTCTCAGAGAGGGCAAATCACAGTCCCTCATCCTGCTCTCAGACGTCTTGCCAGAGCAGGATGGCACAGCCACGCAAGTAAAGGTAATTGAGCAGTGGTTCTGATTGGGTTAAACTAGATATTGTATATTTTATATTGTATAGATATTATATATTGACTCTGCCAATTAATTTGACTATTTGGTTATTTATAGATTATATACTAGGCTGATTGGCTCATTAAGAGAACTTCAAAATCTGTTAACAGCATAGTTGATGCATAATGCTAATTTTCTGTTTTTAGATATTTTAAGTGCATTTTGAGTAAATATTGTGTAAAAAGTATTCATTTAATCCCTTACAATAAAATTACTGTGGCAGTATCATGGTATGTTCTGAATGTGATTTGATATAAAATAACATAAAAAATAAATCTTTATAATATTTAATTCAAGATTAATATACTTAATATACATAGTAGATCTGGTATATCTTCCGTATTATTTCTATATCTCTATATCTCTATAAGAGTATTTTTCTTACCCCATTAAATCTCATTATATAAACCTCATTCACTTTTGTTAAATTTATGCAAAAAAAAACTATTTCCCAAAGAGGTAAGACAGTATCATGATACTTCAATATTTACTGTATCATGGTGGTAGTTGTTTACCATGTTCATGTACACACAAAGAAAACCATCATCTTACCATGGTGCATGTACAAAACTACATGGTACTTTTTTGTTGCTGTAACAGCATGTGTTGAGTTACTTTGTGTGATCTGCATTTCTTTTGTCACATTTTCTTGTTCTCAGAATAGTCTTTGACGTCATTGGCCAAGACTGTTGTTACTCTATATATAAATGTGTCAGAACTGAAATTGTCACAGTGTGAATGTGGGTGTGATGTAATATCAGCACATCTAAAATATTTGATAAACATGATACTGAAATTGTTTTTCTTGCAGCATCTGTTGTTGCATAATATGATTTTTGTCAGCTGCTGAAAACTGTGAGCCAGTATTAAATAGTTTGGTCGCTGTTGGTCGCTGATCCAAAATCCCTCTGGATGAGAGGGCGCCGTCAGTTTTAGAGGTTCCTATTGACTATTTAATGTACGGCTGACTTCACTTCCTAAAAAGTGCTCTGAAAGCTCCTAGAATAAATATTGATAGAAATGTTTCTTGTGCTGTTTGTACAAAAAATATTCTAAAAGGTAATGTTTTGGTCACTGCCTAGAAACATGCCTCAGAGAGCTCGTCCAGCTTTGAACAGCGTCTCCATGTCATGCTTCACCGCATGGGAGTCACCAAAACATCTCCTACTGACACCAAACAGAGCCAGGTAAGTGCGGATATTTCATGCTTCCAATTTTCTTTCTGGGATGTTAAATATTTGTTTTTGCTACTTGCTTTTTGCTTTGCTTGCTATGTTTTTAGTAGTGTGTTGTTGCCAAACAGTCCAACCTTTTAATGTGAAAAACATGTACCCTTTTGAACCAAATTAATTGAACAAGTTTGTTCTCTGAATACCTTTAAAACTTTATTAACGGTCATAAATAATTCACTGTTATCGGAAATGCCTTGTAGCAGGAAAAAACACCTTGCCCCAGTAAGATTTGCGTACTCTGCGAAAACCACAGTATCAAAATCATCGCTTATTCTTTACATGAAAAAGGGTTTGGGTGAATTAGAGATTATACACTTACTTCACTAGGCATCTTATTTAAACCAGTTTTATCCTCTTACAGAGCAAGGATGAGGAGCTGAGGAAAGCCAACTCTGAGGGTAAGACACATTTCTCAGCTACAGTATGTACTTCTCCATGCTGGGATGTGAGAATTTGCCGCATTGTTAGTGCTGCATCAGCACATCTGTGTTTTGAGAGTGGTGATCTCAGTGTTTCTGCTCTGGGGTTTCAGGTGTGCCTGCTAGAGAGGGACATCATAGTGTGGCCTATGTGTGCTTCCTATGTGGTTAGGCCATTCACTGATTATGAGATGCCAAATATAGTTTCTCTTCTTTCTTTTCTTAATTCACACTGCAAATCTTTGCTTTCATTGAAATGCTGTTAAATAATCAGATATGTTTAAAGGGGTAATATGATGTGATTTCAAGTATTCCTTTGTCTTTGGAGTGTTACAAGCTGTTCGTGCATATATAAGATTCGTAAAGTTGCGAAGACTAAAGTGTCAAACCCAGAGATATTCTTTATAAAAGTTAAGACTCGTCCACACCTTCCTAAAATGCCTCATTTAAACACGCCCCCACATATCTACGTCACTGTGTTGGACGATTTGCATAACACCGCCCAAATGTTTACTCAAATAAAGAAGGCGTAACTTTCATTCTCGCTGTAGTATTGTTGCTGCCGCCGCCATCATGTCATGGAGATGCTGTGTTTCCAAATATGGTAAGGAGCGTAACATTTCCGTCACACGCTTGAGGTATTCGGCCAATCACAATGCACTGGATAGCTGGCCAATCAGAGCACACCTCGCTTTTCAGAACGATAAATTTTCAGAAAGGCGAGGCAGAGAGATATGTGAAAAATAATGTTTTTTTGAATCTTAAACCACCTAAACACATTGCATTACACCAAATACACAAAGTAATGTTATTTTTAGCATCGTCATATGACCCCTTTAATTCCATTTAAATGTGTTTGTATCTATATACCATCTCTCTATATATACCACACGCACACTCTCACATATAAGTCTAGCAGAAGGCCATATGTCTGCACATAATGCTATGATTAAAACAAACAAACAGCAAGAATACCTTGCAGCATTGTGTTAAATCCAATTTAAGGGAAATTTCACTGTTTTCAGGTTCAGCCATAAAATCCTTTTCCTTAAGCTATTTGCAGTGTATTTATTCTTATGCATTAGCACAGCTCAGCATGTATTTTATGTGCAGCATTTTCTGTTATTTAGTACACTTTGCTTGCTTTTTAGGGGCAATACTTGACAAACCTGAGCCGCCACCTACATTTATGAAACCCCGCACAATGTCCACCTCATCAGGTAAGAAAGGAATCAACCAGCTTCATTTAATTTCATCATAGCAAGGCACAAGTTGCGATGAAACGAAAGTAGTGACAGATATTTTCCTCTGTGATGTAGATAGAAAAAATGCAGGGCGAGGTTCTAACAGAAGAAATCTAGCATACATCACCAGAGAAAAGATCTCGAAGATTGACTTACGATATTTTGATTAAGAATTACGAGGTTAAAAAAGGAAACATATCAATAGATAATTTGTGCACAATAAGATAACATGCATTTAGAAAATATTTCAAACCTCTTATTTTCTCCAGACACCAGGCGACCAACCCGAGTGACCCAAAGTGTTACTGACTTCCACCGTACAGAAAAGCCGCTACTTCCAGAGCGTCCTATAGGCCCATTGCCCCCTAAACCGGCCATGAAGCCCATTCTGCTTCCTGGTAGTGAGGCAGCAAAGACGGCCACGCCCAGTCCGAAACTCCCCAGTCCCTCTCAGGATGGCCAGGCAGAGGTATCCAAGACCATCTCTCTCTCCCAGCCTCAGGAGAAAGATCCTACAACCCCATCTCCCCGCAAAGAGATGCCCCCAGCCCCCTCACCACGGAGGATTCTCAGAACGGATATCAGAGAGCGTTCAGAGAGAGCACAATCCGTCACTGAAGGTTTGCCTCTCTGTCAGTCTAGTGGGGATGATGGGGAATGCACGCTTTGGATGGCTAGTTTTTACATAACACGCTATTTTAAACTTGTTAGGATAGTGAAAATTTAATGTTTTCTCATCCCCTGTTGAAAAAAAACAGCATATGCTGGTTAGGTATGTTTTGAAGCATGGTAGCTGGTTTAAGCTGGTCATGTGCTGGTCCTAAGCAACTAGCTCCTGCTGAGGACCAGCTCTTAACCAGCTCAGGACCAGCTTAAACCAGCTCATGACCAACTAAGGACCAGCTTAAACCAGCTCAAACCAGCAGCCATTCTTCAAAACATACCTAACCAGCATATGATGTTTTTTTCAACAGGGTCCTCACGTCTTTTCGAATGCTATTTCAGTATGCAGATATTTTTTCACAGAGCTTGGTAGATTACTTACAAATTGTAGTCCATTACTGATTCCAAATTACATGACAAAAATTGAAGTTCGTAATTCATTGCCTTACACATTTTAGGTCATATAATCGGACTACTTTTAGATTACTTTCAGATTACTTTAGACCTATTTTGTTTATCACATTGGTTTAAATAGGATAATCTTGAACCATATTGATATAAAAAAACAAAGAGTAAGAAAATATATTTCATTCATTGTTATTAACAACATGAAGTTCATTAAACATGACATGACGTCAAGGTTTCCCAAACTGGGATTCGTGAAGGAACTGCAGGTGGTTTGTGAATTCAATGAAAATCTCATAATTAATTAAAACATAAAAATATAAAATAAAAATAAATCATTTTAAAATAACATCAATTAAAATAAAACACTTACTAAATAAAAAAGAGAAACCTTTCAACGTCAGAGAACCGTGAGCATGCAAATGTATTTCAAATGTATTTATTTTAAAATCTCAGAGGCACATCAAGTAAATATATTAGGTAAATGAGGTTCAGATGACAAATATAGTTTGGGAATCCCTGCATTATGTAAATAACGTGAATTTTTGCACTTTAATGTGTTTGAAAGACAAAGGCCTTCCAAAGACATAGTAATACATGATTAAATAACCTATATTTGATAATTCAAATAAAAATTTAAGTTCATCAGTAGTAATGTTAAAACACTTCTTAAACCTGAAATGATTTCTGTAAATCCAGTGGCCAAATGCTGTGTGACTGGTCTTTGTGTGAATGTCCACAAAACTGGAAGAATTTCTGAGTGTATATATTAGAAAGGAACATTTAAAAGTTGAAAAAGCGGAATTAGGGAGAATCTATAAATTATAAATAATTTATTGGGATTGTGTGAATAATATGTCATCAATAAAAAAGCAACTGTAGTCTGATTTACATGTAATTACATGTAATCGGTTACTACCCAGCTCTGTTTTTTCAGCTGAACATTATTTTTCCATACAGTGACAGTTCATGATGTCTGTCAAAATCCAACAAGCTTATTTTGTTTTAGAGAGGACACTATTATTAGTAAATAGCGATTTAATTGTCTGTTCCACTTCAGAAAACTTCAAACATAGCACATCATCTTATGCACTTTTGTGAACAGGTTCTTTTTAATGAATCAGCACAACCAGTGTAGTCTGATTTTCAAAATGAACGATTCCTACGAGCGGGATCTTTTAAAGAAAAATGTAAGAAGATAAGTTACCATTCTGATTTTTTTAACATTCCTTTAATTTATTCACAGCCTATCTATCTCCTATTCTGTTTCTTACTTTTCACTTTGCCTCATGCATGTACACAAGATTGGCCTTTATGATATCCATCACCGTCTAAACAAATTTATAATACTAAAGTAGGGCCACATAATGACTCAACTAGTGTCTGTTTTCATTCAACACCTCCCTCAAAGCTCTCAGAGTCTGCCGGCTCTTACAGGGCTCGGCCGAACACAATTCAGTTAGCCCTGTCCCATCAGTCATGTAATTCAATGCTTGTGAGGCCGATGCAGCAAATGGGCCCTGATGAAAATGCATTCATTCTTTGAGTGTTGGTCCAAAATACTTTTTGTAGCTCCAAATGTTATTTTAGAGCAATAACCACATAACTGAGAATATGAATATTGTGATAATGTGATAAGCTGAACGTCCCTTGGCGGTATCAAGTGTTGTGTACGTGTCAGCATTTTCTGTGGACAATAAGCAGCCCGTCATTTTTTTCTTGATTTTCTTTCAAGTTCCACCCTACATCCATTTTTCTCATTTGTGAATCTGTTATGAACCTTGTGATGGTTCATATCTGTGGCGTGGTGGTAGCACATACACTCATGACATAAAGGGTCACAGGTTTGAATCCTGACTGTATTGTTTCCCGATTTCCCTCATTCCCACTGTCAATCCTCCCCGTCCTATATAATAAAAGGCATAAAACAGCCTTGAAGACCCTGCGCTGTCTTATATTCATGTCTTTTATAAGAACGGACACAGTCTGACCGTATTTCCTCTCATAGAGACCCTCCCTATACCACGGCCCCGCATGAAGCCCTCTCCCCAGCGCCGTGCTGTGTCTGTCCATGAGGACTCTCTCCTCCAACACGCGGCCATGCTTGACCCTGAGGGTGAGCATCTGATGTCTCATACCTGTCACTCACAATATGTCAGTTGCATTCACATTCACGTGTTTCTAAACTGCGCTCTGAATAAATGAGAGCGATGTTTTGAAGAAGATGATGTTGCTAGCTGCTGATGTTATTGCTAGTCAGGTATTTTAAGGAGGACGGACATTGTCATACTGGAGAGTATTTTATTGGAGAGAATGTGTCATGCAACGTTTTGGAGGCAATTAGCATTTTGCTATTTAGCATTTAGCATTGACAAAAGTATTGGGACACCCCCTTCTAATGAACAGGTTTGGCTACTTTAGTCATTTCCATGAGTACAAATCTTAATGTTAAAGCATATAATGATATTCTAGGAAACTGTGTGCTTCTAATTTTATAGCAACAGTACACTAGACAGGACACTTTTCTATTCTAACATGGCAATGCCTCTGTGTATAAGGCAAGGCTCAAAAAGAAATGATTGATTCAGTCAGTGTGGAAGAACTTGACTGATCTGCAGAAAGCCAAGTCCTAATCTCAGCTGAACACCTCTGGTGTGACTTTAAATGCAGACCTTGAGCCAAAAACTCATCACCAAACACCAATGACTTGTACATGTGGGAACAGTCATTTTAGACACTTCCAAAACTGTTGCAGCAGAGATGGAAATATAATTTTTAAATACATATATTGTGTTTCCATCTTTGTTGCCACAGTTACGGAAGTGCCTTTATCTGTTCTAAAGAAGGGGGTGTCCCAATACTTTTGTCCATATAGTGTACATACCATTTAAACAGTTGGGGTTGGTAAGATGTTTTTGAAAGAAGTCTCTTGTGATCATCAAGGCTGCAATTATTTGATCAATAATACAATGAAATTGTGAAAATATTACTACAATTTAAAATATGAAATTTAAAAATTAGTTTTCAGCAGCCATTGCTCCAGTCTTGAGTGTCACATGATCCTTCAGAAATCTTTCTAATATGCTGATTTGCTGTTCAAAAGCGATTTCTTATCATCAATGCAGAAAATAGTTGCTGATTAGTATTTTTGTGGAAATTGTGATACATTGTTTGACGAATAAAATAGTTCAAAAGAATTGCATTTGTTTGAAATATAACTTTTTGTCAACATTAAATTAAATTAAAATAAATGTCTTCACTACCATTTTTGATACATTCAATGCATCCTTGCTGGGTAAAAGTAATAATTTCTTTAAAAAAATCTTACTGACCCCACACTTTTGAATGGTATTGTAAATGAATTCAAATCTAAAAGACGTAGACTAAAAGACACAAATGTTGATGCTGATTTCTTGGGTTAAAACACAAAATGCATTTCTTTCTATTCGCTTTTTTTTTTCTGCAAGCAACAAATCTACTGTATGGCACTTTTCAATAATGCCAGTTATTATGGCCTCTCTTAGAGCTAAAGGCTGCGCTGCCAAGACGGCAGAGGTCACCGGGTCGGAAGCGAGTGAACCTGGGAGAACTGATGCCCTGCTCAGAGGATTTACCAGAGGGTGAGGAAGGTGAGAGGAGGAAGAGATTAACTCTACTCCAACACCATGAGAAGAAACCTGAGATGTATATAGATGTATTTAAATCTATGCCTATATAGTAACTTTCTGTAAAATTTTAATATAAATATAGTCTATAGTTTCTATAGTCAGCGTGAGATATTTGTGTACCAAACTATTTATAGTTTGTGCAGTACTTCAATTAGGTGTCATGCTTACGTGTCCATCATGTGCATTCACAGTGAAATCTGGGGAAAAGGAAGACGGCACTGGACAGGTCGATGAGGCAAACAGCACAACAGTCACAGACAGCCAATCAGAGCAGAGCCCATCCGAGCTCAGCAAGCAAGTGACCAACCAGGAGAGGGGGGAGACAGTCTCAGAGGAGCACACAACTCGGGGAGAAACATCAGACCAAAGAACTGAATCCCCCTCACCTGAGATACACATGGACTGACCCTGCGCAAATCTATTTTCTATCATGTGTACCTTTGCCTTGCACGCCAGATTATGTACAAAAGGATTAATTATGAACAAATGCGTTTAAAAACAAAAGAGTAAATCAATACCTATACTTGTTAATAATGATTAAAAAGTGAATTCTGTTCGTGTCATTACGAGTCCTGGCTTTTTCATGGATGCGAACATGCTTGTTTCTCTTCCATTTCTCAAAAATACTAGTTTCTCTTAGCTCAACTCGAATGTTTGGCAATAAAATGCTTGGCAGGGATTTGATTAAACTTGAAGTGATAGTTCTAAACCTGTATGAGTTGCAGCAATTAGAACCCCCCCTAGGTTAAACAGAATAGAACAAAGCAGATATCATTAATGTACTTAATGATATTTAAGTGTGTAACAACATTATTTAAGATAAAAGGAGTCTGATTCAACGAGGGATATCAGAAAGCCAAGTCCTGACTGTGGCAAAAGGAGGAGTTGGGGATGGAGGGGGGCAATTTGCTCATGAGCAAGTGAAAAAGCTGCTGAATAATACTGAACAGAGCTTATATAGGAATGCCGTGATAGGTGTCGTATTCCTATAGGTAGATGTGATACGCTGAGAGTCAGCCGATGCAAGCTTGACTCGTGTTACCTGCCAGAACTAACGCTATAAGGCTTAATTTTGTGACTTTGGAGCCCCCTACAGTTAACAGAGTGGAACTAACTGTCGAAAATATCTGATTGTCGTAATTACAGTAGATACATGTACCAAAGCCATCTCTGCACGAAAATTTGTTGCTGCCGTAAAGTAATCCAGCCTTTTCGTGTAATTTAGGACCTGCTCACTAAACTTGCATCAAAAATAATCTTATTTACCTTATTAACTTGAAGCGGCTTTGCTTACATACTCACAGAACAAGACGTTTGGAGGGATCATAGGAATATTAGAAGTCTTTTTAGAAGTCAGAGTACCATCAGAATTATTTTGAAATTGATATTTCAAGGTTAAAACTTACATACAGTTGCTATATATACACATTACAACATGTAAAAGGAAAGTAAATCTTTCTGCAGTCACCCAGCAGCACCTCTGAACTGTTATTGGCACAGAGCTTTTTTAGCTCCCTGTTCCTGGACATGATTGTAGTGCACTTTTCTTATTTAAAGGGGTCATATGATGCTGCTAAAAAAACATTATTTTGTGTATTTGGTGTAATGAAATGTGTTTATGCGGTTTAAGGTTAAAAAAACAAATTATTTTCCACACACTGTATACATTATTGTTTCTCCTCTATGCCCCGCCTTTCTGAAACGCATCGATTTTTACAAAGCTCATCGGTCTGAAAAGCGAGGTGTGCTCTGATTGGCCAGCTATCCAGTGCGTTGTGATTGTGGAAGCGTATGACGGAAATGTTACGCCCCTACCATATTGTGATGCCCTGTCCGGCCGTAGCAACAAAACAAAAGCATTAAAACCCATTATAAACGAGGCATTTGTTGCATCCAGTGGGGACATAATTACGGATTATAATGATTTATACTGTCTTTTTACCCGTTGCATCGCGCCACATAAACATAAAACCATGTCTGCATTTGTGATTGGAGAAACGACAAACAACAAGTGCTACTCTACACTGCTCAAAACTCGCGTTTGAATCATCAGTGGCAAATTCTTTAAATATAAAAAACGTACTTACAGTCTGTGAGTCAGAACAGCTGGCATTGTAGTCTATACTGTAAATACAACTTAACCACTGATTTCTAGTCATGTCCTCTTTAGGAAGACCAAACAAAGTAGTTTCGCTTTCACAACGAAACAGTGTCACACACGGTGGCCTTGAGTGAGCTGCGGCCTAGAGTGAGTGGAGGTCGGTTTGAGTGAGCAGAAGCGGGCGGCGGATTCGATGAAGGAGCGTCCAGCGTGCTTGCGGCAACCACATGTGACGACCCCGGGCTGGACTCCGCTTTGTCCACCGTGAAAGCCGATCCGGCGAGCCACAGCGCGAAGTTGATGTATATCCTCAGCGACCAGCACGGATCAGCTCTAGGCATGACGAAGCAGATATCGTCCTCTTTTGGAAGGCCAAACAAAGTAGTTTCGCTTTCACAACGAAACACACAGCGCCTTCACGACATGGCGGCAGCGGCAACAACAATATTACAGCGAGAATAAAAGTTATGCCACCTTTCTTTGCGGCGGCGGCATGCAAATCTTCCCACATCGTGACATAGACATGTGGGGGCGTGTTAGAACGAGACGTTTTAGGTAGGCGTGGTTGACTCTTAACTTTTATTAAGAATATCTCTTTGGATTTGAGACTTTAATCTTTGCAACTTTACAGATCTTCTTTATGCACCAAGAGCTTGTAACACTCCAAAGAGAAAGGAAAAATTTAAATCGCATCATATGACCCCATTAAAACATGTATTACATCATATGAATTTTATGAAATAGCTTTATACTTCATCTACAATGGCTAAAAATTAAAGGAATTTAGAATTATGAAGTAATTTTTGAGATTACAAAATACATTTTGGTTGACCTTTCAGGTCATATTACATGACAAACACCAGCCAAATGCTTTCCTCTTATATTTAAGGTAATTATGAAAACTAATGACACTAAAATCAGTGTTTCCAAACCTGTTATGGTAACTAACAGCTTTCATATTCCAAAATACTCTTCTACTCTTCTTTTTATAGGTCTAATGTTCTTTTATTCCAGTTTAACCAGGCTCTGTTAGCAGAAAAGCCCACATGCTTTGAGTCATCATTCCATGTGTGTTTCGACAGCATGTTACTCCCTCCAGTACGCAGCAAGTGGCGGGTGTGCAGATTTGGCCAGTGATTGTTAATGGAACACAGGAGAGCCATCTGTGAGTGTGGAAGTGCTGGAGAAAACAGAAGCTGCACTAAACCATAGATGAGTGGCGTGAGTAAACCACCCTCCATTTATACGACCAAATTGTCTTTACTACTCTTTCAGCAGTTATTTTCATGTCCAAAGCACACATTTAGCTTACTGGCCAACATATTACACCAAACCCACAGGACAGCAAATCACAATAGCAAAACAAGGGGGTGTTATTATAATCTAAACAATTTTATTTCATGAAAATACTAGCAATTGGCACTTATTATACAATAAGGAAATTAAACTTGCCCAGAAAAAGAAACAACCGGAAAGTATCACGTGTAAAGAGTAAATCCATTTCTCAAGAAGACCATACAATCAAAGACAAACCACAAAAACAATGAACAGTCACTCCACCAATGATTGGACTTTAGAAAAATAAATCCATTTGTGCAATTGAGAGACCATAGGCTCAGACGAATAAAGCATAGCTTTCAGTGCGTCCCACTAATGTTAGAGCTCCAATCATAAAAAGATTAGTCTGATTTACATTTACTCACACCACACAAGCTTTGAATGAATCTTCCAGAACACAAGAACTTCCTGAGGGCTTGAATATGGGAGAACACAAGTCTACAAATGCTTATACTTTAGAAATGTGAAACTTATATTTGAGAAATACGTTTGGTTTAGATGTCAGGCTAAAAACTCTGCTACTGTGTGTTAAGATCATATTCATATCAGTTTCAGAATTACACTTCTTGCTGATAATGTAGTTACTGAACAAGAAGATAGGGAGAACATCTACATGTGCGAGTACATATTTTTATATACTTCTGTACATACACTTGGGTTTCTGATTCTGATATTATAATTTTGTACATTCTATAGTAATTCCGTTTGATCTTTCCACATGACATTTTTCTAAAAATAACAGTGTATGCGATGTATAACGGCTGTAGAATAGTGTTCATCATTTCTTTGGTGAAGGTTTAAGTGATTCTACGATGGATTCTGTTTTACATTCACACGTTAGGCATAAGAGGTGAGGCTGCCACATACAGAATCTTATGGGCTTTCTGTGTCAAAGCAACATCGTATCACTCTTAATATATACAGAAATAACAATGTGAAGGCCAAATCCTGGAGCCCACTTGAGGGGGCACAAATTCTTAATGACTTTGAACGTAAAAACAGGTCACAAATATGTAATTTAACCAACAAAAGCTACTTAACTCCAGCAGGAAATCTTATGCCATGAAACGATTACAATGTCAAAGTCCACACACAAGTGTGTTCAACTGTATTCTCTTGAAATATGCCCACAGTCAGAGGCATATATACATATAAAACATTGTGAAGTAGAGAAACAAATTAAAATTTCTAGCCTTTGGCCTAATGGATTCATATAATCAGTGCAAAGTGAATGCAAGTTGATCCTCTCAAGCATAATTTATGGGCAAGCTGGAATGGGCTTTAGTATGTACATCAAGTGAGTCTTTACCTCATCCAAAACTTTATAAAAGACAAATTAAGTGTTAAGAAAGGAAAATGAAAAGAAATCAAGCAACAAAATATCATTTATAATGATTAATTAAAAAAAATATACATGTGCAAGATGACTCCACCTGTAACGCAAGGCTAGCTCTGCTTTAAAGGTAGTGGTAATTTTTCCTTTTCAAATGAAAAGTCCCATGTTACTCGAAAAACTCATCAGAAACCCGTTTGGAAAAAATACCATAGCTCTGTATCAAAGGAAACAAGTTGTTGGGACTGTTTGGGAAGTAAGGCCTCCATGTTTTGCATATGACGCCCAGGTGACTGAACCGCTTCCTGTCCTTGTGATGGCAGCCTGGTGTGCCAGTGTCTTAGTGCTACAGGGTAGCCAGCACTCTGAAGAAGGAAATGATAAATACACACAACGACTGTCCTACTCCAAACACCAAGGCCTCCAAGGAAAACATGCTCTTCCCAGCCGCTTTATAAACTCCTGCTATGGCTGCACCTGTAAGACATTTATATTGATATGTATAGCACACAAGTAAAATATTTAGTGACTATTTAATCATTAAATGTCAAAATAAATGACTAAATACCAACATTTTGTATGTCTAGATCAGGGGTGTCCAATGCATGGTACGGCACGGTACGGTTCCGTACGGTTCACTTTTGGGGGGTTTTCCACTGGGTACAGTATCTGGTACTTTTTTCAGTACCACCTCGGTTGAGGTGGTACGGTTCCAAGCGA